TATAACCAGGAAGACTCTGTCATCATGAACTCTGTGGACAGAGGCTTTTTCAGGTAAGACTTTGTAAGGTTTTTAACTGTTCGGGAAAGGAAAAAAAACAAAAACTGAGTTGTCCAGAGGTACTGCACTTTAACAAAAATTAATGTGTTCTCTATAGGTACTTTGGTGTTATCTGACAAGTGACCATCAAAATGCCACCTGTTTTTTGGTTTTTTTGGTTTGGGGTTTTTGGTTGGTGGTTGGTTGTGTTTTTTCCTTCTCAGTGATGGTCTGTTTAAAAAGACTTTAGAGGAAAGGTCGTGTGGCATGGGAACATTAATTGTTTTTATTGTTATTACTGACAGTAGTCATAACATAATAAAAGGTGGTTATAGTGAAATTGAGATGTACCCTTGCTTTATAACTTTGTTTCAGATCTGTGTTCTATCGCTCATACAAAGAGCAAGAGTCTAAAAAAGGTTATGACCAAGAGGAAGTTTTTGAAAAGCCTACACGTGAAACTTGCCAAGGTAAGATATAGGAGTGTATGAAGAAGAGGTTTTTTTCATTACATTTTGGGGGGGGAGGGTGTTGATGTGTTTTAACTGATCCAGTCTTTATTCTGGGACACATAAAAGAACATAAATGTCTGCTAAATGTATCAGTTGAGGCATGTGCATAAAATTATCTTTAGACATTTCAGCAGTAATCTGAAGTTGAAAGCAAACTTACTGACTTTGGTGTTCTGTAGAAATCCAACATGTTGAAAAATTTGGGAGTCTACTTTTTTTTTTTTTTCTTTCCTCTTCTCTCAAGGTATGAGACATGCAATCTATGACAAACTTGATGATGATGGTTTGATAGCACCTGGGGTACGTGTGTCTGGGGATGATGTCATCATTGGCAAAACAGTAACTCTGCCAGAAAATGAAGACGAGCTGGAAAGCACTAACAGGCGTTTCACAAAGAGAGACTGTAGCACTTTCCTGCGAACCAGTGAGACTGGTATTGTAGATCAGGTCATGGTAACCCTTAACCAGGAAGGATACAAGTTCTGCAAGATTAGGGTGAGCACTGACATGTCTGCTTTCAACTTTTAGTATGTTTTGCTCTGTATTTTAATTTACCAATTGAATGTTTTCCCATGGCTTATAGGTACGCTCTGTAAGAATCCCACAAATTGGAGATAAATTTGCCAGCAGACATGGTCAGAAAGGAACCTGTGGTATCCAGTACAGACAAGAGGTAGTGATTTCTTTTTTTTAATATATTTTTTTTCCTTCTTAACATTTTATTTCTGATTTTCCTAAGGCATTGGAACTGCCTTAAGTGATTTGTCTGTAGAATATCTATTAGCTTACAATACATTGACTTAAATTTAGCTAAAAGATGTTCAGAAAGGGACACAGCTTCTTGTGCGGTACTTTGAAATGCTTTAAAATATGTAATTTGGATCCATGGAATTACTTTTCATAAAGCTGATTGTGGCAAATGCTGACTGTTTCCCTGCTCTAGGATATGCCCTTCACCTGTGAAGGCATCACACCTGATATAATTATCAACCCCCATGCCATCCCTTCCCGTATGACCATTGGTCACTTGATTGAGTGTCTTCAGGGGAAGGTAAGAAGAATCTTGTATGCTATATGTCTGAGCAATATGAATTAAAATGGTTTTATTTTCCCTTTTTTTTTTTTTTAAGATACTACCCCCTTGTAGTAGGTCTTAATACTCTAAAAAAAGGGTTGTTCTCCAGTTACTTGTCAGTCCTGTGAATTTTGTCCAGCAAATCAGACTACAGTGTACTGTCTCATCTATTGCTTTTATTCCAAACATTTCCTGTGACCTAGAGTATCAAAATCATTGCTACTGTGTATTTTTAAAAATCTCACTGTCAGTTGTGGAGCTGATGATAAATAAAGCAAGATAGCATACTATCGTGGGCATGGAATCTCAAGTACTGGCATTAAGAGTTTGAACTGTTTGAAATAATTGTCTGACCAGTCCTTCAGAAGTCCTACAAGCTTCTGCAAATCTCTTCTCTGTAGGTATCTGCAAACAAGGGAGAAATTGGTGACGCTACGCCCTTTAATGATGCTGTCAACGTGCAGAAAATTTCCAATCTTTTATCAGATTATGGCTATCATCTAAGAGGAAATGAGGTATAATCAAAATACCACTTCTCTGTATTTTTAAAAAATGTACTTTTGATGGATGGTAAAGGCCTATGATTCAGTGATTGCCTTGACTACTTCAGGTCCTCTACAATGGCTTCACTGGTCGAAAAATCACATCACAGATCTTCATTGGTCCTACATACTATCAGCGGTTGAAGCACATGGTTGATGACAAAATCCATTCTCGTGCAAGAGGGCCAATCCAGATACTTAATAGACAGCCCATGGAAGGCAGATCTCGGTAAGGATGTTATGAGTTCTATACAGTGTTTTCTTTTTCTTCAAAATTTTCAGCCCTAAAAATAAGCTGCTTCAACTTTGCAGCTAGAACTTTAATTAGGTCACCCCAACTGGCCACGTATTTTCATGTGTTTGGTTTAAGATGATGTGTTGGGTGCAGGTGTCAAGGTTTTGGTAGCAGGAGGTGCTGCTGCGGTGGCCTCTGATAAAGGACCAGGGTTGCCCTGTGCTGAACACAGCCACTTAGAGCTGGCTTCAACAGATCTACAGCTGGCCAAAGCTGAGCCCATCAGTGACACTGGTCACTGTGATAACACATTTAAGAAAGGGTAAAAAATGCTTCACAGCAGCTGGGAGAGAGGAGTGAGAAAATGTGTGAGGAACAGTCCTGCAGACAACTAGGTCAGAGAACAAGGAGAGGACGAGGTGCTCCAAGTGCAAGAGCAGAGATCACCCTGCAGCCCATGCAGGACCACGGTGGAGCAGATACCCACATTTCAGCCTGAGGAAAACCCACACTGGAGCAAGCTCCTGGCAGGAGCTGTGACCCACCAGGGACCCATGCTGCAGTAATCTGTGGGAAAGATCCATGCTGGAGCAGTTTGTGAAGGACTTTACCACAGGAGGGACCCCACGCTGGAGCAGGGAAAAAGTACAAGGAGGAAGGAATGGCAGAGAAAAACTTATGCACTGTCTGCAACTCCTATTCCCCATTCCT